GTCTAATTAGGGAGACAACATGGGAATTGTATAGGAACTAAATCATTCAGAAATATTACAAGAGGCTTTGTGTTGTGTTGGAAACTGTGCTCAGCTTGTGAGTCAAAGAGAAACTGTGTTTTAATGCTACCTCGGCTAAGTCATTTGCTCTGTAACAATGGAAAAGTAATTTCCTCTCTGAGCCTCAGTTTCACCATTCATAAAATGAGAACATTAGGCTTCTTTCAGCTCAAATTCCATTTTTACTCACTGCTGAATTTAATGCATATCATTGCTATATATCAGGTGAGTTTAAAGAAGTAGGCAGTCTCATAATGACAGAAGGCCACCTTGCCTTTGTTGGTTATAGAGTTTGGAGCATCCCCACGCTGAACCCCTGTCACTTCAACTTTTTCAGAAGGACATTGGCAGGAGTTTTCTCTCCAGTTGTTTGGAAACAGCAGCTGCTTCAGTGGGTAGGTCTTTGCCAGATCCATTCATTCCATAGATATTTATTTATGAAGCACTTAATATATACAGGACCTTGCCACATTCACACTGAAGGGGATATGGAAAAATATAAGGTATAGCCCTATACTATTAAGAGCTCATGAGCCTAGTTAGAGATGCAATGGCATTCAAAGTTAAAAAAAAAAAGACATTGCAGGATATATTAATCTATGTCAAATGGTCCATATGCATAGTCAGAGCTTTAGAGAAAGGAAAGCTTAGTGATTGTGGGCTGGGAGGTGGTCAGAGAAGGCTTCCTGGGGGGAGATAGGGCTTGAACCGAGCCTTGAAGGCTGTATGGCTGAGTTCAACCACTGACTAGCTGTGTGATCTTGTACAGTTAACTTTCTGAGCCTCAGATTCCATATCTACAGAATGAAGGTTTTGGACCAAATGACCTCTAAATTCCCTTCTAGACCTAACAATTTATAGTTCTGGATTTTTTTTAAAAATCCCTTTATTTCTTTTGGTTTTCTTCAGCTCCTGGCTGGAATACAGTAGATGCTCAATGTTTGTTGAATGAGTGTGTATTGATATTACCCAGTGTGTGAATACAGTGCTGTCCCTTCTGTTTAAAGATGTTACTACCAATAGATGTGGGTGTGTCTCAAAGAATCAGTAAATGACAAAAAGCTCTGCCTGCATTGAGTACATGTGAGAACATGTTCATTTGGCTTATAGCTGTAGCTGCTACTGCTGAAGTCTATCACTGTGTGTCTCAGGAGCCAAATGATACCTTGGCTCATAAATAGGGTCCACCCTGTCTCTGTTTATCCCTCACCAGGTTGGTCTGAGGGCTTCCTCCTTTTGCCTGGTTTGCTTCGTGCTTTCTTTATCCCTTCTCTGCTGTCACCTCCTCTCAGTCTGCCACCTAGCACCCCACCAATGAATGGATTCAGCTTCCTCTTTCTTCATCTATAATCTGGGAGGTGAGAGAGTTGGGGTGGGGGTGGGGGATAGAGAAAAACAATCACATTGAAGTCAAAACCCTTGTGAGATGGCTTCTGCAGAAAAGCCCTGCGTTCCTTAGGGAAATAAGGGAGCAGATGTGGTCATGCACTTTGGGGGGCAGCATTGGCAAGAATGGAAGAAGAGAGGAGGGAGGTAAGAGAGCAAGAAATGCTTACTGGAGAAAAAAGCTGTGGATGCCAGGAAATAGAGGAAGGAAGTCTCCAGTGAGAGGCGATTTGGGAAGAGCCAACTGAACAGAGAATTTGTTCTGGGACGGAGAAAACATTGGGAATCAGGTGGAGAGATGGAAGGCTGGACCCTTAAGAGTCAGAAAGCCATGGAGGCATTGAAGAGACTGTCAGGAATTGGGGCTAGCTTTGAAGGAGACCTGGCAGCCTGCAGGTGTAAGGAGAGGCTGAGAGCTGGTCAAGGCATCTCCTCCAAGAAGCAGATGACCGAGGGCTGTGCAAGTTGCCTTCATGGCCAGGATAGAAAGGACAGTGCCTGGGAGCCGTAAGTTACTTGTCATGCAGGTCACACCTCCTGGTTTCCTCTCCTAAACAAAGGAGAGCAAATGCTCTGTGTGTTTGTATGTGTGTCTGTATGTGTCTCCCTGGAATTTAACTGCCTTGCAGATCACCAAGCCCCCAAACCTGTGGGTGGTTTTTAATTTATTTGGGGAATGAGAGGGACACATTTTTTGTGTGTTTTTGTTTCTGTTTTTTTTAAATAAAATCAGCACATTAGGATGAAGACCCAGCCTCTTTGCATTGTACACGGCCACGTGTGCTGTGAGTACACGGAACTGCTGAGAGGACTCTATCTAGTCAAACCAGGCAGTCCTTCCTTTCCTTTCGAATATCAATGTGAGTCGGTACCCTTTCTGTGTCAGGCTCATGTTTTCTTAGTTGGTGAGCTGGAAGTGAGGGTTGAATGAATGCCTCGCCTTTTCCTGCAGGGTGGGTTGTGGGGGAAGGGGTGTTTCCTTTTCATGTTTCATTATTCATCTTCTAAACCTAATCCAGTGCATATTTTGCTTTTTGTGTATATGAGGCTAGAGTCTCTTTGTTTTTGTGTTTTGGACTGGGGGTGGGGTGGGGGGGTGCTCCAATGTGATGTAACTTCTCTGCCCCCAGTATTTCCATTCTGAGAGGTTTGTTAATAGCAGTCAGTGGGGAGAAGAGCATAGTAAGATGAGCATTGGCCTTTGGAAGACAGAGGACCTTGGTTCAATCTGGGCTGTTTGACCATGGGCAAATCACTTAACCCCTCTGAACCTCATAGTCCTGTCAAATGAGGAAAATAATGCCTTCACTTACCTGCCTTTCAGTTTTTTTGTAAGCAAAGTACGACAACTTTAAAATGCTATGGAAAATTTGAATTGTCATCGCTATTATGATTTATTAGGGTGTTTTCGTCAGTATGGATCCCTTTGGCCTCCATGGGTTTTCTTTCACATGAGAAAGGTGGCATTTTGGGCCAGTCCTCTGCCACAGGGCTGTGGCTCAGTGAAAGACAAGTTCTGATTAATTCTGCATGCCCCCTGCTCCTCTTGCCCAGCCTAGTAAGTAATCCTGATTCTAACTGCCAGAAAAGAAAGAGGAGTCTTTTGTGCCACATCAGGCAGATGAAACTGGTTCTCAGAAAAAGAGCCCTGCTCCTGCTGTCCCCTGAAGCTTACCCAAGATCGAATGATGGCTCCATGATTCTCAGTTAAACAGCTGTAATTGACATGGACGGCCATAGTGGGGAGTGCTTTGCTGTGATAGATCTTGTGTAGGGAGCAGAGAAGAGGGTGTCTGGTGCGTTTTATCTCACATGTGCCTACTGCAGGTGTCCTTCGTAGAGAGGAGCCAGCATTCTCCTGAATTGGAGTGGTTTTCTAAATTGGCAAGAAATCCTCTACTTTGTGCAAAATTTGATTTCTTCCTATCATACCCCCCTGAGGTATGGCTGTTAGCCGGAAGATAGTTAAATTATCATTTCGTAAAGCAAAAGTATATTATGTTTCCCCCACTTTTTTGCCACAGCAAGCTTTTCTCCCTCAGACCTTATATAGTACTTTATTTGCACTACTTTAATGCATTTCTCATGTAATATGTATTATATTATTCTGTGTGGCTTACCAACCTGCTAGATACCATGTGGACAGAATCTCAATGTGTACTTAAACTGTGTATCTATCCAGGGGCTGGCACACAGTAGGTCTTGATATTTGGTAATGGGAAACGAAGTGAATTGAATGAGCATTTGCCTTGGAGTCAAAAGATTTGATTTTGAGTTTGAGCATTTGCCACTAAAAAACTGTGTAACCATAGGCATGTCCCTTTCTCTCTGAGCCTCAGTTTCCACATCTGTAAAGAGGATGATGGTATCGTAGCTTTAGAGCTAGAAGGGTCATTTCATCCAACTTCTATGTTTTAAAGATAAAAAAATTGAGGTCCAGAGGTTAAGTTATTTGGAAGGATCCATCAGGATTTCAGAAACCACTATTGCTTTTCTTTTCATTAGAACATGAGCTCCTAGGGATCAGGGAACTGTTTTTATGTTTCTTTTTATCCCCATCTCTTAGTACACAGGAGGCAATTAATAAATGCTTGTTGATTCACATAAGTAATAAATGGCAGTCAGGATTTGATTCCAAATCCACCATCATTTCCAATGGGCCTTGCTGCTCACTTACCTCCCAGTGTTACTATAAAGTGAGTGCTTTGTAAAGCATTATATGTATGCTAATTTAAGATCATAGGATTTAGAACTCAAAGGAGGCTTAAAAAATAGTTTAGCCTCTGACTGAATCTAGGCAGATGATTTAATCTCAGCATCCCCAGCCATTCTCTAAGACTATAAATTGCAGAGCCAGTACCTGCATTGTTTGAAGGAGATTGTTCACAAGGAGTTCCCTGTACTAATAAAATCACTAATCTGACAGCCCCCCCAAAAAAAAATTCAACCCTGTTATTGTACAGAAGAAGAACCCAAGAGAGGAGAAGGGATTTGTCCAATACCCAGGCAGCTGGAGTTTGTAGCAGGTCCTTTGACTGAGAATCTCTTATTCCATAACTGCCTGTCTTTGTTGAGACAGTCAGCTAGAGTGGTCATTAGTGCTTCTTCTTAGCCACTAGAGTGAAAGGGGCCCTTAGCCACTAGAGTGAAAGGGGCCCTGATGCATTAGGCAAACCAGAAATATAAGGGGTAATGCAAAAAGTTGATCTTTTCGTATTTTTGTTGAATTGGGATAGATGTAGAAGATGGAGGAAATAAAGATGTTTTAATGAAGTTGGTGCATTAAACTTTGGATTGGTCATGTTCTTCTAGCTCATACTTAAGGGCATAAATATTTGAATATCCACAAAGCCATTTCAAAAACAAACAGTTTTTTAAAAATCCCTGGGGATTTTCTGAAAAGCTGCCATGTTACATACTTCCTGGAATCTTTGAGACACTGCTGTATCTTATTTGTTATTTCCAGAAGTACATTCAATTTTTTTTTCCTTCTTGCTTTTTTCTCAAAGTAATTGTCCAAGTCCCAAACCCAGCTCATCCTTTTGCATTTTCAGCTTGATGGCTTCAGAGGAGCAGCATTGGCCTGTGCCAATGAAGGCCATTGGAGCTCAGAACCTCTTGACAATGCCTGGGGGAGTGGTCAAGTCTGGATACCTTCACAAAAAAGGTGGTACCCAGCTGCAGTTGCTAAAATGTAAGTCCTATCACTTATTTTCTCTGAAGCCCCTACCCATCCATCCATCCACTCTTTCCCACAGTGGGCTTCAGTACCATCAGAATAGTCTAAAGGTACTCAGGGAGCCAACAAGACATAACTGAGAGAGCATGGGACTCAGAGTTGGGAGACTTTGTGTTCTAGCTTAGACTCAACCACGATTGTTAAGCTGTGGGATGTTAGGTAGCTCACTCATCTCTATCTCAAATCCCTCATCTTGAAATGTTGGTGCTAATGCCTGTTCTCCCTACCTTAAGATAGTCTTTATGAGGGTCAAATGAGAATTTGTTTGTGAAAGTACTTTGAAAAATGGAAAGTGCTTTATAAACATAAAGTGTCTATTGTATTGAAGGAAAAAAAGAAACATTAATACTGTACTCTGCCTTGCAGGCACAAACCTGCCAGAAACCATTTTAGTTAATTTATTGTTATTCTTATCCAAGCATTTTTCTAGCTTAGTGGGAGAAATGTCTAAACTGGCAGAGTCTTTTATTGCTATCAGACATCTCTCCAGCACCACATATTTTTAAAGTAACATTTACAGGAATTTTGAGCAAGGGAAATTTCCCATTATGATAAAACACAGTGAAACAGTTCAGGGTCAGGTAAAAATTAATATTGCTTCATAGAACAAAACAATAATTAACCTTTGAGGGTGTGTTCTTAGTGAGTCATTTTCTTAAAATCACTCAGTCCCTCTATGATTGCTCTCCTCAAGGGCGCTCCCCCCACTACACACCCCAGTGCGGTTATAGGTGACTTGAAGTCATCAAAGAGACGTCTTCCTTTTCATAGATAGGTCATTATCTCCTTCACAGCCTTGGGAAAAAGGCTACTTCTCTTAGGTGAAGCAGGCAGGGTCCCCTTGCCCTAGTCCTTGTCATGTTAGCACCCAAAAATCAAGGGAGAGGAGGAGTCCTTGCTGGGCTGGTCAAAGAGAGGGGAACAAGACATTGTTTCCCAAGTGACAGATTTCAGATTAGTCAAAAAGGCTGCAGACTAGGATTCTTTTAAAATACTGTGTTAATATTTCCAAAAAGAGAAGCTTTGAGACTTTGCTTCTGTACTTGATATATTTAGAGCTGGAAGGAATCTGAGAAGAGTATTTCAGTGCCCTTATTTTACAGAAGAGGGACCGTGGCCCAGAGAGGTGGTATTGGAACCCAGCTCGTGTCCTTCCATTAATGCTCCATGTTGGTGCAGAGGAAACACTTCATTCTCAAAGGTTGTACCAACAAAACAGCTTTGAGTACAGTCCATTGCTGGAGCATGCCCCCAGTTTGAGGACCTGCCTGGTCAAGTGCAAAGACTCATAACCAAAGGCAGCTGTGTGGTATAATGTATGCAGTGTTGTACTTGGACTCAGGAAGACCACTTTTGCTAGCTGTGTGACCTTGGTCAAGTCACAAACTCAGCTTCAGTTGCATTTGCAAAAATGAGGATAATTTTTTTTAAAAAGAGCATAATAACATCACCTCCCTCACAGGGTTGTTGTGAGAATCAAGTGAGGTAATGTATGTAAAGTGCTTTTCAGACTTCAAGTGCTTTATAAATGCTCACTATTGTTTATTATTAATATCATCCTCTGCAGAGACGTGGCAAAGAATGGTATGTAATGAGAAGGTAGGGGGAGGTTGGAAAGCCAGAGTTAGAAAAAAATTTCAGAAGCCATCGTGTTCATTTCCTCACAAATGGTCTTCATCCTACACCTGAATACCACTAGTGATGAGGAACTCATTCCATTTGTTAGCAAATTGTGGGAGTTTTTTTTGTGTTTTTTAACAGTAAGCTTAGGTGTGTCTCTGCAATTCTTACTTAATTTTCATTCCTAGGTCTGCTCTCTGGGACCAGGCAGAGCCCATGTAATTCCTTTTTCCATGTGACAGATCATAGATTTAGAGCTAGAAGAGATCTTCAAGGAAATGTAGTTTAACCCCATTTTACAGATGAGGAAACTGAGGCTGAGAGACCTGAAATGATTTGCACAGTGTCACATAGAGAGTAAGTAGCAGAGCTAGGATTCAAGCTTGGGTCCTTGGAGTGTAAATCTAATGCCCTTTCCACAGTACTGTGATACCCCATTCAAATATTTTATGTCCTTAATCATGAAGTGTTGGAAAAATTGTCCAAAAAGAAGAGTTAATATCCATCAGAGTATCCAAATCCTCTATTGTTTTCCTCTCGGTAAGCTGCCCTCTAAGGCTAGGAGGAGGGCTGGACCTGGGTTTGAATCCTGACTCTGCACCTTATTATCTTTGTTATCATAAAGAACTCTCTCAGTTTTCTCTTCTCTAAAATGAGAACATTGTACTAAATGATTTCTAATGCCCTTTCTGGCTCTGAATCCTTATAATTCTACTAGAATTACAGAATGTAATGGACTTAGGGAATCTTACCATTCTATTTTGGGATTGCTTGTTTTGAAGGTATGTGACAATGGTGTTTTTGTTTTGCAGAAATCCATAGATAACACTTGGCTTATGGCTATCAGTGGACTTGTGTTTAAACAAGGAATCAGACCAGACTAGGGTGTGAATCTTAACTCCTTATTCTTACTAGCTACCAACTATGAAAAACAAGTCAATCTTTCTGAGCCTTAGTTTCCTCATCTGTAAAATGGGGTAAATAATACATTAGTACAACCTCCAAGAGCAGTTTGGAGGAGCAAATGAGCTATCCCAGGTAAAGTGTTTTGCAGGCCTATAGCAATATAGAAATGTTATGTGGATACAAGGGAAAAGGGTGTTTTGGGAAAATTAATTTTTTTTAAATCAGCAAAACATGTTAAAATAAACTTTCCCTTTCTTTGTCTCTAGGGCCATTGCGGTTTGTGATTATCCACAAGAGATGTATTTATTACTTTAAGAGTAGCACGTCAGCATCTCCCCAGGGGGCCTTCTCTCTGAGTGGCTACAATCGGTGAGTTGACTTGGTGCCTGTGGGTAGGATAGTATTCTTGGCCTGAGCCCCGTTTTTCTATGAAATCTAACAAGACTGTCCATCACCACCTCCCACTGAGTTGTTCCCATGTGTTTTCAGTCTGTTACTTTTATTGGCTTATATAGCACCTTTCTGGAAATCAGTACCCCCCAGCCCCTCTGCCCAATGAGAGTGGATATGGGAGAAGGATTGTTATCCCTGAGTTATAGACAAAAGAACTGTCTAATGCTAAGGAAGGGACTGATAGCCCAGCCAAGGCTAGAACTGACTGTCATTAGAATGCACGCTTGTCCTGAAGTGTTTTACAAACATGAACATGCTATATAAATGTCAACTATTATTTCATTGTTACTATTATCATTTTTGCAGCACTCAGAGAGCTTAAGTGACTTGCTCAGGGTTGCACCATTTGAATGTCAGAGGCTTACTATGGAACATTCATTCCCTAAGCATATACTGAGCACCTGTGGGCCAGGCCCTGTAAGACATTCAGTGAACTGAATGGTGAACTGGATACATTCTCTGCTCTAGAGCACTTAGGGTCTATAGAGGGGTAAGGGAGAGGGAACAGATAAGACAGGAATAGAGATAGTTAAAGTAGAGAGCAGTCTGGTGGGTGCTACAAGTACACAAGCCCCTTAACTGGCTTGTGAAAGGGCTGGTAGCATTTCCAGCTCTTGAAGTCATAATGCCAGTCAGTCCTTGCTTGGCTTTCTCATTTCTTCTAAATAACCCCACATCCTGGTTGGTTGACAAGCTTATTTGAAAAGGCAAATTGAGTCATTTGAACTTGTGAAGCGCTCAGACCTACCCCCAGGTAACTGAGCCCAGCAGAGAGACCACACTGGCCCTTTCCCTTCAGAGGCTTTGCAAGAACAAGCAACAGAGAGGTAGACTGCCTGTCGTAACACATATAGGCTGTTAGCAAGAACTGAAGCCGTTTGTGCACCCAGCAGGCCCTTAAATGTCACTGAGCGTCCTGAGACACTGTCTCTGCCTTCATGGAGTAAAACACTAACATTGTAATTATGATATTGGGAGACAGCTATCATGTAAAATTGTATCTGTGTTGTATGGAAGCATTATCATGGTTGGGCTTAGTCCCAGGATGCAGAACTGGGTTGAAGTTACGAAGACATATTTTGTCTTGATATAAAGAGAAACTTCATAATGGGCTCAGAAGGTAGTCGATTACCCACTGCCAGAGGTCTGCAAGCAAGAGTTAGGTGATCCTTTGTAGGGGATGCTATAACAAGAGTTCCTATTCAGGTTTGGGTTGGAGCCCTTCCTGCTCCTGAGATTCCAGTCTGAGGTGTCAGGTTGTTCCTGGCCAGGGGAATCGGGCAAAGTCTTGCTCTAGGGCAATAGAAAGAGGCCTGGATCATTCCTGCCTCAGAGAGTTAAACGGTTTGCCAAAAGACACGCAGCATGTCATTGATAGGGCTGGGACTAGAACTCTGGTCTGTTGCTATGCAGACCAAGGCTCTTTCCACTCCATCACGTTGCTGTGCTTTCTTGATTTTGTACTACTTGTCTCCTACCTAGGGTAATGCGAGCAGCTGAAGAGACAACATCAAACAACGTCTTTCCCTTCAAGATTGTTCATATCAGCAAGAAGCACCGAACCTGGTTCTTTTCAGCCTCCTCCGAAGATGAAAGAAAGGTGATTTTCAAGTAGTAGCTCAGATAAGAATGGCTCCCTGGTCAAAAGACAGCTCACAATCTGTAAAAGGAGAGAGTTAAACTAGATAATCTCTAACATCCTTTATAGCACTATACCCAATGAGCCTACGAAGGCAAAATCAACTTAGCAGCCATCTCTGCATGATCTGCTTTCGATCTCCTCCTGCAGTCTGTATTTAGTATTTAATCCATATTTATAACAAGACGGTCAAATGTGGTTTTTTTTTCTCTTTCTTTCAGAGTTGGATGGCCCTGCTAAGGAAGGAAATAGGCCACTACCATGAGAAGAAAGAGCCATCATTAGATTTCAGGTATGTAGCTGTTCAATGACTATTGGGATGGGGTGGGGGTGGGAGGGCGTGTGGTCACATTCTTTCCAAAATGGAGCTTCTTGGAGTACTCCTAAGCAAAGCCACTTTGCCCTCTTTATGTTTGTTGATTTAGCACACATTTAGAGGCTCCCCGTTGCATGCAGAAGAAAATTCAGGCTTCTCTTCCTGGCATTTAGTGCTCCCACAGTGTAACTCCAGCCTGCTTTTTTGCCTTCATCTCACATTATTTCCCTTCGTACATTCCATGTTCCAGATAAACTAGACTAGTTTTTGCAGTGTGAGACTTGAATAGACTCAGAAAGACCTGAGTTTGAATCTTGACTCTGACTAGCTATGTGACCCATGAAAAGTCACTTAACCTAAAGCGGTTACAGCCTCAGTTTCCTTATCTGTAAACTGAGGTTGCTGAATCTTCAGTGGCCTTTAAGGTCCCTTCCAGCTCCAAATTTATGATCTTATGGACTGTTGGATTAACTCTGCCCCCATTTTATTCTGTGCCCTGGCCTCTGTGCATTCACAAATGTCATCTACTTTGCCTGCAATACTTCCCTCCTCATTTCCACTTGTGGAGATCCTTCTCTTCTTTCAAGGATTAGGTCAATTGTTGCCTTCTGCAGGAAGTCTCTTCTAATTTCCTCTCTAGTAAAAGTGACTCCTTCCTCCTCAAATCTTCTGAGAATACTTTTTAAAATCTCTCCTTTTGTCCCTATTATACTTTGTCTTTGGAGAGATCTATCCATTTCAGGAATAGTCTTTTTCTACATTCTGTACAACAAATCATACTTATTCACGTATGTATCACATTCTCTGTAGTGGATACTAAGCTCTTCCAAGACAACTTTGTATCCCTTGCTCAAAACCAAAAGAACTGTTTGTAGCAGGTGTTTAAAAAGTATTTGTGGAGCTGAATTAAAGTAGCACTTGTGAGATCCTGTGCTGGGTTCTGTGGGAAACAGACTTGAGTGAGAAATAGCACAGCCCCTGTCCCCAGAGGTCTCCCAGTCTAGTGGGGAAAACAGAAGCAGAGAAACAAATAATTCTCATACCAACTAGAGTATACTATGGGTCAAAAATAGGAGTATAAGCAACATCCTTCAAGTGTTGAGCAAAAGAAAGATCATTTCCATCTTGGGGAGATCCAGGAGTCTTTGAGGAAGAGGTGGCAGTTAAACTGGGTCCTTAACAATGAGACAGATCTCAACAGCTTGATGTGGAGAAGGTACAAAACATGGGATGTGATTGTACAAAATTAAGTGATCTCATTTGGCTGAAATACATAAAGAAATAATAGTCCAAGAGGGGGCTGCAGACAAGAGATCGGAACCAAATTTTGGAGGGTTTTGAATACCGGACTAAGCAGTTTGGATTTAATCTCTAAGCCATGGGGAGCCATCAAAGGCTTCTGAGCAAGAGGGTGACAGCATGGATAGGGTGATATATTAAGAATATAATAGAAAACAAAACAAAAGAATATAATACAACAGTGACATGAAAGATATAAGCTGGTAAATTAATTCACAGAATAATATAGTCATAGGGTTTAAATTAAGGATCATTTAATTTAGCCCCTTCATTTTACAGATGGGGAAAGCTGGTGGTTGCATGAATTGACTCGCCCAGAATCATATAAAGCCAGTAAGGGTCAGAGTCAGGATTTGGACCCAGATCTTTTGACTTCTAATTCAAGGCTCTTTCCTCTAAATAGCAGGCAGGGTGACTGGAATATCACAGTCCAGAACGTCCCCTGGTCTGGGCCTGTAAACTACTTTGGGGTGGAGACTGGCATATGGGTGTGTGTTAAATCTTTTGTCTTTCTTTTCTGCATTTATTATTTAGCGACTCAAGTTCTGACACAGATAGCTTCTATGGCTCTGTGGAACGTCCCATCGATATCAGTTTATCCCCATATCCCACTGACAATGAAGGTAAGTCTTAGCACATTGTGTGCCTTCTCTGTCTGTGGAGTTTCCCACCCCCTTCTCCTTTCTCACCATATATGCTCTCTCCTGAACACCCTGAAATGCTCCTGGGCTCAGAGTTCTGGGCTCTCACCTCCTTCCCTGAAAGTATGTGTATCCTCATGAAAGAAAGTGATCCTGTGTCCTCTGGCAACAGAGGAAAAAGGAATGGCCAGTTTCTATACTTGTCTTTTTTTTCCAACTCTGTGTGTGTGTGTGTGTGTGTGTGTGTGTGTGTGTGTGTGTGTGTGTGTGTGTGTGCACACGCACGTGTCCATATGTGTGCATAAGCTTTGTTTAGGTAGCATTTTAAAAACTGAACTCCCACTTAAAACCTTGATTTAAGCCCATCAGGCCTACTAGGAATTGGCTTGATAAGGTTGTTTGCTCCTAGATAAAGCTTATTCTCTGCTTCAGAGAAATGAAGATTGCCCACCTCTGCACCTTTGCTTAAGGCTATTCTTTATGCCAAGAATGTCCTTTTCTCACCTGCCTACCATCACCTAGTGAGGTCCTTCTTGTCTTTTAGGGCTCAGCTGAAATACATCCTTCTCTAGGAAGTCTTCCCTGAGCCTTAGGGCCTCAGGAAGTGAATTTTCCTCTATCTGATCTCATAGGACTTTACACTTCTCTTATATTCACTTAACATATCCTAATTTGTATTCTATCCATTTGTATCCATGCTGTTTTACTAGACTCTGGAGTTTCTTGACAGCAGGGATTGTCTGTCTTATCTTTGTGTCCTCCATAGGGGCCTTGCACAGAATTGATACTGAATAATTTTTAAAAATGTTTCTTCCCTTCATGCTTACACAAACAGACTATGAACATGATGATGACGATGACTCCTACATGGAACCAGACAGTCCAGACTCTGTGAAAGTTGAAGGTAGTTATGAACCTGTCTTTTTCTTAAACATATTAAGTGACCATTATGCCTGTGAACCTTGTAGTGGGGATTATGTGAAGTGTTGGAGAGGGGCAGGGTGTGTGAGAACATTAGCATGGTGTGTGACTTGTGGCATAGTAGAAAATGTACTGGATTCAAGGTTCAGGGACCTTGGGCCTTGGTGTGTTCATCTACAAAATGAGGGATTGTGATGAGATGTCTTATAAGATGCTATTATCCTGTGATCTGCAGACGGGTTCCCTCTCCTCTCTGGGCTTCAGGTTTCTTCTCTATTAACCAAGAAGGGTGGGATAGTGGGTCTCTAAAGTGCGATAAGCTTTCTCCCCACCTCTGTGAGTCTAAGTGGCTTGGTACAATGTAACACTTGAATATGTGCTATCTTGGGGTGTTCTGTGTATATGATTATCATGTCACCAACTGTATTTGTGAGGTCCTTTGAGACAGTGGTATCAGATTCATATAGAAACATCCCTGTGGGTTGTATATTGACTTAGAAAACCACAAATTAACATTATTTGTTGTATTGTATTTGCACTTATTTTGTTTAAAATCATCAATTACATTATAATCTGATTCAGCAGTGAATCTGGCAAGCCCATAGCAAAGTAAAGCATCTCTGCTTTAGGATAAAGGCAGTGGATACTCCTTATGTACCCCCAGACTGGTACTGAGCACACTGTAGTTGACAGAAGTGAATATAAAACATTTACTAGCTGTGTGACCCTGGGCAAGTCCTTTAACTTCTCAGTGTTCTTATCTGTAAAATGGGGATAATAGCACCTACCTCACAGGGTTGTTAGGAATCAGCAAGATAAAGCACTTTGCAAAACTTATAGTGCCATATAAATGTTAACTATCATCGTCATCATCATCATTATTATTATTAGCCTTCAAGCCTGCCAAGTTAAGGCCACTTTAGATATAGATACAGATTCATGCACATGTATATATATGTGTATATCTGTCCGTGTTCCTCCAGCTAAACTATCCCCTAGATATATTCAGTCCCCTGTCTCACATCTGTCTTTGCTCATGCTGTCCCTTATGTCTGAAACGTCTCCCCTTGCTCTTTCCCTTTTTGAATCCCTACCCATCCTCTAAACTAAAGCCCAATTCAAATGCCACCTCTTCTGGGAAGCCTTCCCTGATATGTTGTCCCCAGCTTGTAGCTGTTCCTTCTCAGATTGTACTTATATATTGTTGCATATCATAGTTATCCATGTGCCTTAGACACTGTACTAGACTCTAAGCCCCCATAAGAATAGAGAGGGATCTAAATTTGTTGAATTTATAGAATCATAGATTTCACTTTGGAAAGGATCTTGTAGGTCACAGAGGCAGTAAACGGCAGTGCTGCAATTCAAACCAAGTCTTCCGACTCCTAATCCTAATTTTTAAAAAAAAAAATTTTTTTTATTAATTTATTTTGATTTATCAACAATCACTTCCATAAGCTTTTAAGTTTTGAATTTTTTTCTCCTTCTCCCTCCCCCGTTCCTCCCCAAAATGGTGCACAATCTGACATAGACTCTACATATACATTCCTATTAAACATATTTTCACATTAGTGATGTTGTAAGTAAGAATTAGAACCAATAGGAGGAACCACAAAAAAGAGGAAACAAAACAAAACAGAAGGGGAAAAAAAGCAAATAGTATGCTTCGATCTGCTTTCCAACTCCATAGTTTTTTCTTTGGATGTGGAGAGCATTTTCCATCACGAGGCCTTTGGAGATGTCTTTGATCCTTGCGGTGCCCTTTTACTGTAGCACCCTGAGTAAACCAGGCAGTTACATTCTTTTAAAGGGTGTTTGCTTCTTCCTTTGCAGATATCATGATTCACCCACCAGCTTATCCCCCGCCGCCGATCCCCACTCCAAGAAAACCAGCCTACTCAGAGACACAGCGGTCACACTCCTTTTCCAGCAAGTGCTCCGCACCTCTCCATCCTCCCCCACCTCCCAAAAGAGGCCTGCCGGAAATCAATCCTGAGGACCTGAAAAGAGAAGTGATATCTTCTTGGAGGCCAGAGCCTAATCTGAAAGTGTCCTCTCCCAGTAGGAGACAGAGCGATCCACCCGTGGGAAATCTACCTCCTATACCCAACTTCAGAAAACCAGCTTCTCCAGAGCTTGTGTCTGTCAGCCATCTTGTGAATACCTCTAAAAGCTGCAACAAGTTAAAATCTATCCACCTCTCTCCTCGAGGATCACTTCAAGGATCACCTCTGGCTGAGCCCCCTCCAATCCCAGCCAATAAACCGAAACTGATAAAGGTGGGAGAGTTACAGTCTATAAGAGAAGCTGTCAAACCTGGACTATTTGTGCCCCCTGTGACACCCAAACCACCAGCCTTGGCACCTAAACATCCCATGCCTGGGCCACCAGCCTTGGCACCTAAACACCCTGTACCTGAACTGAAGCCCAGAACTGAAAAACCTTCACTTCCCCAACTACAGTAAGTCTGAGCCCCTCCGAACTGAAGGCTTAGCCCTTCATTGGAAATTGTCACCTTTCAGTCAGGGGGGCTCCATGATTAATCTAAATTTGTGATTCATTAGCATCTATGGATATAATTGGGTCTTTCAGAAAGAATTAGCATTACCATTATTTAATTTCTAATCAGAAAAATTTGAAAGATGCTAATATTTGGTATCTGGAGGCCTATTGGAAATACTTTCTAGAGTGTACTTCTTAGGTCTTGGATGTTTTTGGTTATTAGAAATAATATTATGAATTAGTTTAACTAATTTTTAATTAATGGAACAGATATCAGAAATTATTGTGATCCATAATGATAATGCCTTTTGATTGTATATAGACATTGTGGTATGGTAGACTGAGAGCCACTTCTGACATGACTGTGTGGCCCTTTCCGAATCACTTAAGCCTTCAATACTCCAGGCACCTCTGAGGCTCTGAATTGCAGACATGGTGCTGATCCAGTCTGCAAAGGCAGAAGAGGCTTCCATACTGGGTATTCTCCACATTAATGAAATCACAAGTCTGTGCTGAAAAAAACTAGACTAAGCACTGATCATAGTATATCTTAATTTAATGAATTCAGCCTTCCAAAAACAATTTCTTTTATCTCCCATAAACAGAGCTTTAGGACTCTCCTGCTTTAGTTAATAGTTATCTAGAAGCATAATAACTCCCCACCACAATCATAGTTTAGTTATTTCCTCACATGGAAACCCCTCCCACCACCAAGAAGTTGGTTGGTGCTCTCATAGCCCTGCTGAACTTAGGATAATTAAGACGTGTGTTTGCATAGGACGTTCTGGCTCACAGATTTCCCAGCAGAGTACAAGTTCTGACGGGTTCTGCCTAGCTGACAAGACATCAGTTATGGATCCAGGAGCACACCTGTATTCCAGGGAACAGCCTAGCTAAGTTCAGAGAGGCTTGCTATGGCTATCAGGGGATAAGTTTATTGCCAGAGCAACTCGACAAAAACTGTCTCCTGATGTCATAGAAAGTTATGATCTGCCTGAGCGGATGCACTCTGACAAAAATCACAGATCTTTGAAGTAGAGGGTGGGTTTATGGTTTACAAAGCTCTGTCCCCGTAATAATTCTGTGAAGAACATCCAAGCCTCCTTATTTTACAGATGAGAAAACTGAGGTTCAGAACATTAAAGTGACTTGCCTGAGATTACATAGCTAGTAAGTAGACAGTCGGTGGAACCCAAAACCATAGATAGAATCACTAAGAGTAAGAACCATAAGGAACCTGAAAGACCTTCTGTTTTTCCAGCCCGCATTTATACCAGTGAGAAGACTGAAGCCCACAGTGGTTAGTGTTTGAATTAGGATTCCCAAGGAGCCTCACACAGACTTTCAAAATTAGAAGAAAACTCAAAGATGATCTGGTGCAAGCCAGGTGCTTCTGACGCCAAGTGCTCTTCCTGCACCTGTTTTATCCTCCGTAGTTTGGCCTCTAGCTGAATTTTGCTGGTTTTGTCTGCTTTGTTTTCCCAATCAAAGTACCTCACCAATCCTGTCTATTAAGGCATAGAGGGATGGCTACTTACATTGGTAGAGGGAGCATATATGCCTAATAGAGGCGCAGAAGGAGAGAATGGAATCCACAGCCCCTACAGCCCCCATTGTGCTTCCTGAAACAACACCATAATGACTGACTGCAGTCAAAATAGTGTACCTTGAATTCAAGTTTTCAACAGCAAGTCCTTTTATTCCCTAATAATAGTAGGTTTTATATAGTGCTTCAAGGTTTACAAAACCCTTTCCAAATATTACCTCACTTTATTCTCACAACAACCCTGGAAGGTACAGGGGCTATTATTACCTCCATTTTATAGATAAGGAAACTGAGGCAGACAGGTAAAGTGACTTAACCAGGATCACACAGCTGGTAAGCATCTGAGGTCAGATTTGAACTTGGGTCTTCATGACTCCCATTTTGGGTGTTCTCTCCACTGCACCACCTACCTGCCTCTGAACTGTTTACATTAGATTGGTTTCCAGCACGTATTTATAGGAAGAAAATGTTTTCTTTGCAAGCAGCACTGTTTCGAAAGGGACGCTTAGCTTGGTGTGTTGACTCTAAGTGGTCAATAGCACAGGTGCCATGGACATAATACACCATCTCAGAACTCAGTGAAGACTGTTGTTCTGGGAGGTAGCATGGAGGAGAGGAAAGAACACAGAGACCTGGGTTCTAGTGCCCAGGTTGTCATGACGTTGTTGTGTAATCTTGGACAGGTTTCCAAATGAGCAGAGAGTTGGACTAAATCATTTCTTTTCTTTTTTTTTTTAATTTATTTTGATTTATCAACAATCACTTCCATATGCTTTTGAGTTGAAAATTTTTCTCCTCCTTCCTCCCCCCCACCCTCCCTAAGACAGCGCACAATCTGATATAGGCTTTACATATACGTACCCATTAAACATATTTTCACATGAGTGAAGTTGTAAGTAAAACTTAAAACCAATAGGAGGAACCATCAGAAAGATGAAACAAAACTTAACAGAAGGTAAAAATAAGTGATAGCGATTTGACTTCCATAGTTCTTTCTTTGGATGTGGACAGCATTTTCCATCCCGAGGCCTCTGGAGATGTCTTAGATTCTCGTAATGCTGAGAAGGGTTCAGTTTAACAATCTTAAGGACTAAATCATTTCTAAAGGCCCTTCTAGCTCTGGCATCCTACAGGTGAACTTGTTGGGGAGAGTTAGCTATGGTAACCAGCAGTGTTCACAGTTTACTTGTTCTTTCCAGGAGATCCTCACCAGATGGGCAGAGTTTCAGAAGCTTTTCCTTTGAGAAAACTTCACTCTCAACTCAGTTAGATACCAGCTGCGAGGATTCAGATGAAGACTATGAAAAGGTATAGTTTATTTATGAAATGAAGAGAGCAGCACTCCTAGCAGGGAGGCTGAGCCGGAGATGGGACCTGGGCTGGGTAGAATGAGATTGAAGGATAATGAGTAGTCCATTTGGGCAGGTTCCATAGATTAATGTGATAGGGAGTTACATGAGATAAAGCTGGAAAGGTAAAGTAGTCCCAGATCAGGGAGAGTCTTGAATACCAGCCTAAAGAATTTAAACTTTATTCTGTAGACAGTTGGGAGACATTGAAGGTCATCGAGCAGAATAATAATGCGATAAGAGCTGTGTGTTAGGAGATTACTCTGCTTTGCCTGCCTTTCCCAAAGGGAAATTTTACCACCTTTGTTCATAGAGTGGATAGAGCAGCATAGAAATGAGATAGATAATGAGATTTCTAAATTAATTGGGGGGGGGTGAACACACATACAACTGTGTTCACTTAACAAACATTTAGGCAGGTACTGAGCCAAGCTCTGAAGGAGATACAAAGATGAATCAGACACATTTCCTACCCTAATGGAATTTACAGGCTAGTACAGAAAATAAGACCAAGACACAATAATACAAAATAGAACATCATTGTCTGAAAAAGATATGAAATTCCAAGAAGGGAGAGATCCAGTTTGGAGAGTCTGGGAATGGTTCATTAAGAAGTTGGTTCCTTTAGCAGTGAGTCATAAGGTGGTACTGCAGTGGATTGGGGGTGGGGGGAGCCAGAGGAAACGATTTACTACTAAATGGACAAGTCCCAAGTGTTTGAGCATGGGCTCCAGAATTCTATCATCAGCGTGCATACATTCAAGAAAACATTTGCCAGATAGTTATCAAGCTTCCATTGTGCGAGGCATTGGGTGAAATACAAAATTAAGAAAAGTCATGATGGAGATTTCTCATGAAACTTTCAGTCTGATAGGGATATGAGATGTAAACACAAATACCCGTAATACAGAATTTCATGTGATAAATGCGTCATAGAAATACAGAACATGAGGACCAAGGGGGAGGTTATTGTCAACAACGTGGATGTGTTTGAATGTGTGCACGTACTAAGGCACTGTATACATTGCTTTCTTCTTTCTTCCAGGTGCCGCTGCCTAGCTCCATCTTTGTCAACACCACCGAATCCTATGAAGTGGAAAAGTATGCTTAATTCCAATTATTATATTTAAAATGCTTTGATGTGAGATGCTTGTCTGTTGGGCAGAAATGGGAGGAATAGGTGGAGGTTATAAGGAAGCCAACTTGGAGTCAATATATGAAAGAATTTCCAAACAATTAGAGCGGTCTGAAGGTGGACAGGACTGCCTTGTTGGGTTAGTTCCCCATCACTGGGGAGAGAGTGGGGTGTCTTCAGGCAGAGGCTGAGTAACCACTTGTCGGATATGGCTGGATCACAGATTTAGAGAGGAAAGAGACGTTTGAGGCCAGTTAGCCTGATCTCATTTTACACTTGAGAGGATTGAGACTCAGAAAGGTGAATGGAACTTGTTCAAGATCATTCAGGTGTGGTATAACTACAATTTGAATCCAGATTCCCACCTTCAAATCCCATACTCTTTCCATTGTGTTTGGATGCCTGGGATAGCAGAGATTCATGAATGTTCAGATATAGTTTGCACTAAGTGGCCCCTGAGGTCCCTTCCAACTCTGGGGTGCTATCATTGTTCTTTTTGGAAAGAAAAACAGATGACAGTTCCATAAACTGCTGTTTCCACAGGAAACCCTGGTGGGAGGCAATTTTATAATTGAGATTAGGAAATGGGATGATGCCATTATCATGGAAAGCAACTGAACTTTTTAAATAGCATTTGAGATTGTATAGCACAGTCCTCTTAAGTTCCAGACATGTCTAGTTAAAAAAAAAAACAACAAAAAACAAAAACAAAAAAACAGGAAAAGGTATTAAATACCAACTGTGGTACTATTTGAAAATGTTATCATAGCATTCAGTAGGGTGGGCCTCCAGCCTGTCTCCTCAGCTTTAGCAATTCAGTGCAAAGAAGCTATATTTGGAACTGTTTGATGAAGTCCTTACAGTTACTCTCTTCTGTTTTAGCTTGTTTAAAGCCACTGATCCTAGGGGACAGCCACAAGATGGACTCTACTGTATTAGGAATTCCTCGAAGACGGGAAAGGTAACATGCCACAGACAAGTGTCAATTCCATACGTTCATTCATTCAACAAGCACTATGTTCAGAGTCCTGTATATAGACATTGGGGGAGATACAAAGGCAAATAAATGCCTTCCTCAGGATAGCCTAATAATTTTAATGACCAACATTTACTAATCACTTTAAGGCTTGTAAAGTGCCTTACTCACCATAACCCTGTGAAGGCAGGTAGTGTGGGTTGTCCCCATTTTATGGATTGGGAAACTGAGATTCTTAGCAGTTAATCTAATAGAAAAGATGATATTGATACTATTACTGGTATCAATAATATTCATAATAAGGCAATGACTTTTTCCCCTTACCTGCTAGGAGCAAAAATAGTTTTCTGTAAAGTCATTTCCAGTGACCCAGCCATCCAGGCTTTAGGGAGGGTAAAAAAAAAAAGTGAGGAACAAAGTTGGCAGCTTATCTTGGGGCAGGGAGCGGAGATCTCCGTCTTTGCCTCTTCTCTCTGCCGGCCTTAAAGGCTAAAACACAGAATCTCAGAACTGAAGAGTGACTATATGGATTATCTCATCCAAATCCTTCCCTTGACAAATAAAAAGACTGAGGCCTGGACACTTGAGTTCTAATTATGCCTGTTGCCATTTGCTACTCAGGTGGCAGGGGGCACTTAATTTCCTAGAAGCTTGGTGCCCTTGTTTTTGAAATTGGAGATAATATTGGCACTAACTAACCCAAGGGATGTTTTAAGGAAGGCACTTTGCAAGTTCTCTACAAATAGGAATTGTTAGTAGTTCTAGCCAAGGTTACACAGAGTAAGGAAAATAGCAGAGACAGGTCTAGAACCTCAGTCTAGTTCTCCTTACTCTAATGATTCCACACACTGAAGACAGCAGAGCACCCACGTTCTCTACTATTTCTCCTGCCCTTATTTTTTCTGTCCTGCCTGCAGATCCCCAACCTCAGTGCACAAATTGGTCTCTGTAGCATTTAGATGAACTGATTTTTTGATGATCCTTTTTTTCCCCCTCTTAAATTCAGGTTTTGGTTGTGTGGGATGAAGCCTTTAACAAAGTGAGAAACTACCGGATCTTTGAAAAGGTGAGAGCTGTTGTTCGTGGGCCTTGAGATTTCAAGGCCTTTTGTTTCCTGGGACCAAGCTTTAAGCAAGAGCTGTTGGTCAGCTTGTGCTGGGGATTGGAGATGATCTTACAGCAGAAATTACTTGTGTTTTGAGTTTTCTCCTTACTGGGGTGTGTCACACCTGTGGCATCTCATCTCATCCCCATTATGTCCACATAGATCCAGTAGGCGCCCTTGGAATTCCTCCCCATTTTAGAGCTTAAGGAAGTGGAGGTAGAAGGGAGCACTGGTCTACCCTAAATCATGTAGCTGTCAAGCCAAAATAGAAACCCTGGTGTCTGGGCTCCCACTAGAACTAAGGAAGGAATTCCTTGGGATTGGTGCTAGAGAGGTAACACTGAGACACCTTTTAGAATTGGAGGAGAGAAAGTATGTTGAACTTTCTGCTGCTGTTAACATATTCTTTTTTCCTCTCTCTTCCTTTTCGTCTTTCCCCTCTTTGTCCCCCTTTTCTCCCGTCCTCCTCTCTTTTCTTTTGGCCCCCATAAAGATTCCAGGCTAGGAAACCTCATCCCCCCATTCCTATTCCATTTCCTTTCTTCTGCTCCCCCTTTGTGACATTACTTTCCTCCTTTCTCTTTTCATCTTTTCCTCTCCTTTGTTCCCTTCCAACCATGTCTATGCCTCAAGCCTGTCAGTGACAGGTAATGCTTCACCTGTAGGTAAAGCTTTTTTTTTTTTTTCGCGAAGCAGTTGGGGTTAAGTGACTTGCCTAGGGTCACACAGCTAGTAAGTATCAAGTGTCTGGTCTGAGACTGGATTTGAACTCAGGTCCTCCTGAATCCAGGGCTGGTGCTTTATTCACTGTGTCACCCAGCTGTCCCTAGGTAAAGCTTTTTTTAAAAAGAGCTTTCTGGAGCAGCTAGGTGGTACAGTGGATAGAGCACCAGCCCTGAAGTCTGAAGGATCTAAGTTCAAATCCAGCCTCAAACCAAACACTTGATACTTACTAGTTGTGTGACCCTGGGCAAGTCACTTAACCCCAACTGCCTAAAAAAAATTTTTTTTTTAATTTTTTAAGTAAATTAAAAAGAGCTTTCTAACTCAGCCCTAACTAATGCTTCTCCCAAGGCCTTTGGGTAGATAGGAGGGATAATCTTGTGAATGGTTATCTGAGCCAAGAAATAAAGGGGAAGGGAATGTTTTTAGATCCCAGAGATAAGCATTGTCTTCGTTTTACTCTAGGACTCCAGATTTTACCTTGAAGGAGAGCTTCTGTTTGTGAGCATTGGAAGCCTGGTTGAGCACTATTACACCCATGTCCTGCCTGGGCACAAGAGCCTCCTTCTTCAGCATCCCTATGGCTACTCAGGGCCCAGGTGACACCTGCCTGACCTAGTGATTTGGTGCAATAATTGAACCCGGAGACAGATGGAGGAAAGAAAAGCTTGGATGGTCGGTCTTGACTTCCATTGACAGCTGCCCGCCCAACCTGGGCCCTTGATTTCATCTCTCCTGCATGTTGTTCTGAACCTGTGATAGCTCTGCTGTGTGGTCCTCCCAGAGGCAGGTGGACTTGGTTCACTCTCCACCTTTCTTCCATTGATTCTTCCAACCCCCCCCCCCCCGTCCCCAAGAGTGAATGCATTCATCATAAATAAGCACATCCTCAACCCCATTTCCCAAGGAATTCTCAAAGGACTCCTTCCCTGGTGGCCAAACTGGAGATACCAGTAACAATATTGGAAAAGGTCGCTGTGGAAATGGGCAGAGGTACTTTTATGGATCAGGGCACAGGATACTGTGTCTCAAAGAGTTGCTGAGTCAGCTTGAGAAGTCTTAGCAATGTAGTTACAGCCAGGCAGTGTGGTCCAGCCCAAGACACGCACTAGCTGTGTGACCTTGGGCAAGTCACTTAATCTGTTTGCCTCAGCTTCCTCATCTGTAAAATGGGGATTATAATAGCACCTACCTCCCAGGGTTGTTGTGAGGATCAAATATCATAATTGTAAAGCGCTTAACACAGTGCCTGGCACATAATAGGCGCTGTATAAATGCTAGCTGTTGTTATTAATTAATTGTTTTAAATTGTGTTAAACAAGCAAAATTGTGTTATGTTCACTTGTGTTTCAAGCAAGAAACATTTCAAAGTGACCCTCACAGAGACTCCACTCCTCCTTTTCCCTGCTGGCCGGGAATACATTCACAAGCAACAAAATGAACTGAGAACATTGGTGAAAAGAAGCCTTCTCCTTCCCATCTGCCAATCATCAGGAGCAGCAAAAGAAGAGAGAGCCTCCCTGGGGAGGTGGTAGATCCTTATGAGGGATGAGCACAGGAATGGACTGTTGGAAAGGGAGACTGTCACGAGGCTTTCTGTCCTGAGCAAGGATTTCATGTGGCACTTCTGATTTCTCTCTGGGCCAGTGTGCAGAGGTTCTCCTGCCCCTCGACCTCTCAGTTGCCACCTTGCAAAGTGTCATCGGGAAGCTACTCTTCCTTGCACAAAGTCCCAGACTGAGCCCACCTTTCATCCTAAACTCTTGGGCACGTGTTCATTGGCAGCAAGCCAACCAAAAGACTTGTCCTTGTGCCACCCATGAGACATTGACCCTTTTGTTCCAGGCGTGGGTTGATTAAAAACAAATGGGAACTTGGTGCCAAGAAAGGGAGGAAACTCGAAGCCCAAGATATTAGACGAAGTTTGCATTGCAGCAGACTTTTCTTTCTCCTCTGGGGACAATTAATTTGGTATGGAATGTTTATGTCCTTTGACATTCCCCCTGTGCTAACGCTAAACCCTAATTAAAGAGGGACTCTGATAGTAACTAATAAAACAGAACTAGAAGCATTCCAGATTACACAGTATTGACCAGGCCTATCGAGAATGGGCTCTGAATCCAAATTGTGAAATTTACTTTGTTCGATATTGCATGGGGATAGAAGCTTGCATTTTTCTCTTGCTTCCTGGGATTCATACACTTCCTGTCAGTGCTCCCAAGTAACTGAAAAGATGATGTCACAGTCACATAATTTCAGCATTAGAACCTCAGAGGTCATCAGCCCATTTAGTCCAGTCCTAAAGCATGACCCCCTTCTGTATTTCCACTTGAACTCCAGTATTGATGAGGAACTCGTCGCCTTACAGAATATCCCATTCTGTTACTAGGTAGTTCTAATTGTTAGGAATTGTTTCCTTCTATCAAGATAGACTATGACTGTCCTGGGTGGTATTTCCAGGAGGCAGATTTCTGCCTAATCTCTGGAAGAACTTCATCGTCATCTTTCCCAAACCTCCCGATTACTAGTGCCTTCTTCCTCCTCCCAGATCATCTTGTATCTGTTTTACCTGTTCTTATATGTGTGTGTATTTCTCCCTCAGACAGAATGTCCACTTCTTGAGGGCCGAGATGATTTCATTTTGGTCTTTGTCCCCCACAGTGCCTGGCACAGAGTCTGGCACACAGTGGGTACTTGTTAATTGATTCTGGTTTAGTATAAGGAAGAACTTTGTAACAAAGCTGGCCAACGATGAATTAGACTAATTTACAAGGCAGTGAGTTCCCCATTATTGGAAGTATTTCATTGGGATGTTGAAGAATAAGATTCATGACTTAGGTCTGATTTGGAATAAATGATCTGTAGGGTCCTTCCCAACTTGGAAATTCTGTAATTCAGTATCTCTACGAGCAGTGTCTTGCCTTTGCAAGGGCTACAGATGTCCCTAGCATAATTTTATTTAATTTTGTTGTTTGTTTTTTTAGACAGTTGGGGTTCAGTGACTTGCCCAGGGTCACACAGCTAGTAAGTGTCAAGTGTTTGATCTGAGGTCAGATTTGAACTCAGGTCCTCCTGACTTCAAGGCCGGTGCTGTATGCACTGCACCACCTAGCTGCCCCCCCAGCATAATTTTAAAAAGCAAAATGTAAAAGTTCTTTCCTCCTGACTTCACTACAATTCCTAGAAGCCCTGTTTCCAAAGCCCACTGATGAGGTCGTGATTTCCATCCCATTTTTCCAAGCAAAAAGACTATATTGGACTCTACTTCATTCCCTCCTCCCCCATCAAATCTCCCAGCTGACAATTCAGCCTCTCCTACCAGCCAAAGGAAGGCCTCAGAAGGGGCAAGAGCCAATTAATGAGTCATTCGAGAGGGATCAGCTCCAGAACAACGTGGAAAACGCCTGTGTTCCCAGGAGTGATGTGCCCTCTGGAACAGACAGCAGTAGCGGGGTGGAGGAGGCCTGGGAGTGAGGCGAGGGTCTGGAGTGAAGGTACCTCACTGCAGCTGACTCTCATTGCCTAAGAGAAACAGTGGATAGCCAAGAAGGCTTGGCCTTTCTTCCCTATGCTTTTTTGTTTCCACGGTGGATGGCATTCAGCACGTCACAGCCCATCTTCCAATTAATGTTGCAAATCAGTACCCACATGATTCCCCCTGCAATTCCACAAAGCCATTATTTTGTCCTGATCCTTCAGGTGTAGTGATAGTGACTGCCATACGGTTGCAGGACAAAGAGTTTGAGGCCAGGAATCAGGAGACCAGGAGTTTGAGGCCTGACCCGTGATGCTAATTACCTGTGTGATGTCAGCCCTTTGCCAGGGCCTTGATTTCCTTCTATGTGAAAGGAGAGGTTTAAACTGAATGCTCTAAGGTTCCTGCTTGTGATCATTTATGTCCTAAGGTCCCTTCTAGCTGTGATGCTGTTCTACATTTTAAGTCACTTTTAGCCCTCACGTTATAAGTTTTGAGATCTCTCTCCCCACCTTCCAGCTCTAAAACTTTATGGTTCATAGTCTAACATTCCATGTTCAAAAGGCCCGCCCAATGCTAACATTCTGAGTATAGCTTTTGAATCAGGTGTTTAGTATTGCTCTTTGCCACCGCCATCCCCTCCTCCCCCAAACAACTGAACCCAGTGGAATACAAGAAAACTCAGTTCTTCATCCAATAATGAAAAAGACTTTTTCTTTTTGTTTATGTTATGTGACAGTTACAAATACATGCATGTTATTTTTACATGTGTGTATATGAAATGAGTCACTTAGCAAGATAGCTGAATAGTTTTAAAAATAGCATCGTATGTCATCCCTCAAGAAGTTTGCATTTCACTGTAGGGGGAGGGGCATCCTACAAGGTAGAAAATGGAATTAGGGGCAAAGACAAGAGCTAGCAATGTGGCCCATGAGCATTTGAGCAGAGAGAGTTGACTTTCAGCTAGAGGCATCAGGAGAGGAGACAGCATCTGGGCTGCCCCTTGAAAGCCCAGGATTCTGAAAGGCATTGCCATGGAGGAAGGGAGGACATGCCGGGCATGGGGGTAGCTTGCATGAGTGTTTGCACTCCACATGGGTGGAGAATAGTATGTTGAGTTCAGGGAACAGACAAGTGATCCAGTTGGAAGTGTAGACTGCGTTAAGAGGAACTATGTGAAATAAGACTGGAAAAATATTTTACATTCATATGTATTTGTGTGTGCATATATACACCCATGTAGGCACCTGCTCGGATACATACCCACCCACCACAAATATACTTCAGTACCTAAAGAAGCCTTTTTTTTTCCCCGCCACACTAGACTTCAGGCCTGAGCATGAAACTCTGTGGCTGAAGTAATTCTTCCACAGGGGTCAGTATTCTGGTGATGAGCCTTTCCACATTTAGATGGGTCCTGGCCAGTAGACACAGCCCCTTCCCCTCACCCCAAACCCAGAACTTTTCTAGCTTGGGAGGCCTTACACATTCCACCAGCAATGTCCTTGAGAAGCCAAGTTACCTCCAAACCACAAAGAGATAAATCATTAGGGCTTTTAGTAGAGGACATACAGCAATGCATTTTTGTTATGATGGCTAAAAGCATGCCTGGCATTTATTTCATTTTGTTCTCGTGACAATCCTGGGAGGTGGGTACTATTATCCCCATTTTATAGATGGGGAAACTGAGGCAGGCAGTGATTACCACTAGCCCAGGGTCACATAATTAAGTGTCTTTGATTTGAACTCATCTTCCTGACTCCAAGTCTACACTGCCATTACTTTGGAGGTGGTTGGAATCCTCCTGGTGCCAATAAGAGCTGAATGCTAAGTGACCCGCACTGAAGGATTCTCACAGGAAATCTGTCTTCAGTGTCCTCAACAAGCAGACATTTATCCATCGGCTTCCTTTCTACTTATTAGCAGCAATACATCTTTTTCTCTCTCTTTACAGCTTAGAAATGAAACTTTTTTTCCCCATACCTACATGATTCATGAAACCTCACATTTAATGTAATTGAATAATCTTCTGTTAATTGAAAGAACCCAGAGCTGTTTGGCCGTTCCTCTTAGCAGAACTCTGCCTGCCATGCTTGACATTTTATCTGGCTTAATGGTGAGCCACTAGAGAGTTTTGTGAGCAACTGGGTGGCTTGGTGGGTACAGAGCCAGGCCTGAAGTCAGGAAGACATCTTCCTGAGTTCAGATCTGGCCTCAGATATGTACTAGCTTTGTGACACTAGCCATGTCACTTAACCCATTTGCCTCAGATTCCTCATCTGTAAAATGAGCTGGAGAAGGAAATGGCAAACCACTCCAGTGTCTTTGCCAAGAAAACCCCAAATGAGGTCATGGAGAGTCAGACACAAATGAAACAAC